GCCTCAACCAAGTCTCTGCAATAGCGCAAACTACAGGGTTATATTTGTTAGCTAAAAATATTAGATCAGCCTTTTTATGACGAACATTCCTACAGTTCCATTGAAGGATGTTGAATGTTACGGTTTTTTTTAATTATGGTTTCTAAGAGCTGTTCTAATAAGGGCAAGACATTGTTCGGTAGTGAATCACAAAATTTTGATACCATGTTAATCAAAGAGCATGTGAGTAGCTCAATCAGATTATCGTTAGGAGTAGCATAAGGAGTAGGACTAAGTGTTCCAAGCGCACTGCCATTAGGTTGGGAGGATTTGGGAGTTCTAACAATTTCTTGATGAGCATGTTTATCATAAGATTGACTCTGAGGGGATCTAGGACGGGGTTGCTGAGGAAGACATTTATTGTAGACAACAGATGGCGACCTATGAGAGGATGAAGAATGTTCATAAACCGGGGATTATTGTGAAGGGAGAGGGCAGTAGGCATTAGAAGAAGAAGGGACATTACATGGGACGCAAGAAGGGACGGGTGAATTTTTGGGAGAGGAGCAGATTACATCAGCAAAAGATAATTTGGAAATGGGAAAGCGGCGTGATGCTTCAGTATAACTAACATTCTCTTGGGACATTACATGTTTGATATTTTTCTGGCGCAAATGTTCTGGACAGATAGGCTCTGTGGCTTTATGATGGCCTCTGCACACGACAAACAGGATCAGGTACTGTACAGGAGTCCCCAGGGTGTTGTTGAGCACACTTAAAACATCTAGGCTTAGATCGACATTGAGCACGGACATGGCCAAATCTGCAGCAGTTATGGCATTGTATGGTAGGGAGTTGGTATATGGAGACTGGGAGAGAAGCATGGAAACAATAAACTTTATGTGGGAGAGTTTGACCTAGGAAGGTCAACACGACTGTGGTGGATGGTTCCCAAGTTGGTCTAACATTATTGTTTTGCCGATTTTTCACATTTAACCTTCTAGCTCTTATGACAGGACCACAATTTGGAGGGCATTGTATCCCAGAGACCAGTTCTTCAAGGGACCACTCCAAAGGTATTTGGCGGACAACACCCATTCGAGAAACCAGGAACTTTGGGACCTCTGCATTGAAATTACTTTTTTGTAATATAGAATTCTCAATAAAGGAATTGGCTTCTACGTAATTTTCAAATTGAACAGAAATTTTATTTCGGCCTAATACCTTGATGCCATCATACACAATACCAGAAATCTTGTTTTTATGTAGTAGCTGTGCAAAATTAAGTAGTTTAATATAGAGCCCTTCAGAAGGATGAGCTTCCATACGAGACACGTGGACAGTGAAGGGACCTTGATTAAATTCAGTATACCTAATTTTTTTGTCAGGCTCAAAACCTGTTAAAAATAATAAAAATTAATGTGACATTTCTAACGACAACTATGTACACTGTCAGTTAGGCATGGGAGTAAAAAAAAATATTGATATTTATCGTATCGCCAATTTTAAAGACTATCGATAAGTATCGAGTGAAAAATATCTATATATTTTAATTTTTTTTAATTATTCATATTTTGGATAAATATTTTATTAAATATTATTTATATTTCCAAACCATTCGAAATTCGTCAAAAAGAATAGACATGAAGAAAAAAGTAATATTTATTTATCGTCCAATCAATCAAATACAATTTATTCGAACCAATAGTCATCTGATATAGACATTAGGAGCACCCTCTGTTTAATGTGCTTTGCTGTCAAACGGCTTCTATTATTGGGTACTGTCAGATTCATAGCTGAAGCAACTCTTTCTGAAGACGCCGAAGAAGCTTGGAAAATTAGATACTTAAGGGCGACTTTTTAATTTCACTTCTTTTTAAGGTGTTTTTTTTGTAATTTTATGAATTTGTAAAATATTAATCAGTCAGACGATTTAGACTCATTGTACGTCTCAGCGTTAAATAAAATCATGCAAACTGACATAAGCATCACGCTAAATAGTTGAAGAATTTAAGTAGTTGATCAACTTCTCATAATACTGAAGTTATACGACATCTAATAATATTTGAAACTTTTTCAACGATAAATTATAAAAGAAAATATATAAAAAATTGTACTAAGTTTTTAAATTTCTACATGTGCAATTTTTTTCTATTAAAATTTTTTGATTTGTTGAAAAAAAGATCCAAAAATTAAATTATTAATTGTTTGTTAACTTAAGGGTCATACACGTCTCACACTGATGTTTTAATAGTGTTAGTAATTAGTATTTTCATGGTATTGGCTTAAAGGTCTTGTTACCAGGCCATATAATCTTTATTAAAGAAAAAAGTACTATCGTGCACGCATCTAATAGCACTAAACACCAAACAAAAGTTGCGTTAAAAAATATATCGAAATTGATACGTATTCGATAGTCAAAAATAAATATCTATATATTGGGAATAAAAATATCGATATTTTTTGCCCATGCCTACTGTCTAGGGATGGGTCGTATCGCTTTTTCTGAGTACCGTATCTGAATCCGATATCGATTTCAAATATCAGATTTCGAAACTATGTATTTTAATATCTAGATATTTTACGGTTCCCTATCCACGTTGATTAATTGAATTCTAAAAAAAAAAAAAAAAAAAAAAAAAATTCTATACTTTAAGGGAGTGGATATAAGATGAATGAAATAACTTCCCTTCATACTTTTTCCAGGCTTAGGACTGGCTGCAATATTTCATACTTATTATAAATATAAAATTGTGCAGACGTATTTAAAAGTTGATTCATTCTATGTACATAATTTTCCTTATATTTAAAACTTAACATTATATATTTACAATTATGTCAGGGTTAATAATTATTTATATCCCTCCGGGTTCAAATTCACGTTTAGGAACGTAAGCTCTCTGACTTTATTCGTCGAAAGTCTTGTTCGACGATCATTAATAATTAACCCTGTCTTACTAAAAATTTCAAATTAAAAATTTAAAATTATTAAATAAAAAATTTCATTAAAAATATAAATTGAAGTAATATAAAAATGATTTATTTTAACATCTTATATACCGCTTAATAATTGACTTTAACATATTTTTAGAACACGCAATCGAGTGGCAATATTTTTATTATTTGTGTAAGAAGTTACATTCAGTACATTTCCATTACATTCAGTTACATTCAGTATTATAGCTTAGGGCGGAAGAATTTAAAATATACACACAAGGCACATAAGCCTTGGTCTGATTTCCACCAAAGCAGCACAGCACTATTAAATTATATTTTTTCTTTTTGTGTACTTTTATTTTTTTCCAAAAATGTGAATAAAATTTAGCTAATAAAAATATTCACAAAAAATTTACCTCCTAAAAAATTTCCATTGTATATTTTTCTTCCTTAATTTTACTTAAGCTCAAGGCTGAACAAAATTTCAAAGACATCGTTAATACCGTAATTCGTATTTAAATGCAACAGAGTTTTTTTCCATGCTGTTAAGATTCAAAATTACTTAACTGCGCGCTTTGTCGCCCGTTCAACGGCTCAAGGCTAAACAAAACAATAAAAATATAATAATATCGTTGTAGTAATCGCTGATACCAAGATTAGTATTTAAATGAAACGGATCTTATTTGCATGGTGTTAAGATTAAAAATTACTTAACTTATTCATAATATCTGTTTAAAAATCTGATATCGTGCATTGCTTGCCGTCCCACTCTAACTAGTAAGTGTTTATATCTCACGCGCTTTGTCGCTCGATATCTGATATCGTGCATTGCTTGCCGTCCCACTCTAACTAGTAAGTATTTATATCTCACGCGCTTTGTCGCTCGATATCTGATATCGTGCATTGCTTGCCGTCCCACTCTAACTAGTAAGTATTTATATCTCACGCGCTTTGTCGCTCGATATCTGATATCGTGCATTGCTTGCCGTCCCACTCTAACTAGTAAGTATTTATATCTCACGCGCTTTGTCGCTCGATATCTGATATCGTGCATTGCTTGCCGTCCCACTCTAACTAGTAAGTATTTATATCTCACGCGCTTTGTCGCTCGATATCTGATATCGTGCATTGCTTGCCGTCCCACTCTAACTAGTTAGTATTTATATCTCACGCGCTTTGTCGCTCGATATCTGATATCGTGCATTGCTTGCCGTCCCGCTCTAACTAGTGAGTATTTGTATCTCACGCGCTTTGTCTCTCGAAATCTGTTTAAAAATCAGATATTGTGGCAAACGCGTATGATATCGCCGTATCGCGATTCGTGTTGGTATAGCGAGCGAGCACGGTACATCAGATTTCGGAAATATCAGATATTGTAAAATACATAGATATTGAACGAGCCAGTAAGCGATATTCCAGTCAGATAATAGCTACCGATCGAGCCGAGGTCCGCCCCCCTCGGGCACCCTCGAATCGGAATGCTAAACGCGTGCTGAGTGACAGTCCAAGCCGAGGTCCCCTCTCGGGGGACCCTTGAGCCTGATCACTCCATGGAGCGCCCGCCAAAGCGCCCTAAGAGCTTGGCGGCCTCCCAAACCGGTAACAATAATAGCGTGACGGCCCGAGCCGAGGCTCCCCCGGGAGCCCTCGAGCTTAGTCACCATAACGCGTAATAATAGTACGCCGAGGTCCAGGCTAGGCGCCTCGTGCGCCAGGCCACCTCAAGTCCGTCGGATCTGTGAAGGCCCCTAAGGCCAACAGTGGCTCATCCAGCCAAAAAAAAAAAAAAAAAAAAAAAGCGATATTGGGATATTGTACTAATATCTAGTTTTCATATCTGATACGATTTGTATCGCCCACTTCTACTACTGTCAGTACTTTTATGTAGCTGATACTGAAAATTTGCTATTGTTTTTTGTTTGTTAGAATTTAACAGAAATTAGACTGTTAGATTACATTTGTTTGATGTTAATGAGTGTTTAAGTTAATTTTAATTTTAAAACAAATAGTAAAAAAATATATGGTGTACTTTTAATATCGCTATATAATAAATATTCATTTAAATCGTTTCTATTATTTTTAAAATGTCCTTTGATGTGGATTGGGATATAGAGAAATATAAAGACGACCACGAAAGCGAAGAGCAATGGGAACTAAGGAAAGCTTTTATGGAACGATGGAAGAAGGATTATTCCGAAGATAGACTGATTTGTTTGGCTAAGGTATTTACAAACATGGAGTTTATGGGATGTAGATACCCTACAATGCTTATGCAGGAAGTTGCTAGGCTATCAAAAGATGTGAGTCTTATTGATTCTTTCTGTCACTTTAATTAACAAATAATGTTTCAAGGAATTTAGACAACTTTTTAAGGTAAAGGTGCAGATTAGCGGCACAGGATTTTTTCTGCACCTTTACCTTTTTTAATACTATATATTTACATATTTTCACTTCCATGACACCAGGTTGCTTTAGAGTACAGAAAAGCAAAGAAAAGCAAGTTACAAAGAACCTTTGTGTCAGCATCTACAGCTGCAGAAGACCGTGCTAAGGGTGTTAAAAGGAAAGGTGGAATGGTATTTGAGAATCTACCAAAAAAGTCAACTAAAATTAATTTTGTACCACAAGGACTAATAGAGGCGAAGGAATCTGACTCAGATAGTGAAGTTCAAATAGTTAAAGAGAATTATAAAAATGAGATCAAAGTAGAAAGTGTAAAGCAAAGCTCCAAACCAAATAATGACTGTGAATATTTAAAAGAATTATCAATGCTTCAGTGTTTAGATATCACTAAATTTCATGAAGGCATGTTTCAGACTACTTTTGGCAAAATGGTATTATTAATTAGGCCATGGACAAATAAATTCTCTAATATACAAGGTCAGTAAATATTTTTAATCAATATAATGTTCATATGCTATTATAAATTTACCATAATTAAATAATTCTGCAGTTTATTAGTATAACCAAATTTTTTCTTAAAAATTTTAATTCCAAGCTGGAATGTAAGTTCTTCCCTTTTTTCCTTAATTTTTAGAATACATCATTTTCAAACATATTGAAGTAAGGTTTAGATTGGTTTAGATTTTGATCGAAACTGAGATCAAGGTCGAAAATTCGGTTATGGTTTCAGCTATAAAATCTATTTCGATTGGACGCTACTTAACATCCATCTGCTTTATCATATTATTTCACAGACAGTTGTACTGTGTGCCATTTAGCGGCCAAAGGAAAATATATAAATAATTGCTTTTCATTTACTTTGAATGGGAAACTGATGGCTCAGGCAACAGGAACAACTAAAGCTGAAGCCAAGAGCATAGTAGAAACAATGGTTTGGAATGTAAGTCAAAAGTTTTGTGTTTATATAAAAGTTAACTTCTATGTTGCATATAGTTTTTAAATATAAATAAAAAACTTTTGCAGATATCCAATCAATTATGATCTTTGTAATTGAAAAGTGTATGTAATCCAAAATATGCACACTATAGCACAAAATTATTTGTTTAATTATATTTAGATATAAAGAGCAGTGAAACTTATTTTTAGATGCTACGTGAAAAATTAGTTACTGTGCTAATAAAAGAACAATGGATAGCTCAAGGGGAGCATGTTTCACTAAGCGATGTTTCAGGAAGTAAAACATCTGATGCCTCCTTTGGTACGCCACTTGAAAACAGCGTCGCCACTAAGTAAGATGCACATCATATAGATTTTTTTATTTTTTATTTGTGTTTAATTGGATCTGAAGTACTAGAAATAATCATCATCTACAAATGTCGCGCTAAATTGTTGCACAGGCCAATATAGCTTTGATCTATAATAGAACTGTTTTACATTAAAATAAAACAGTTATTATAAGCCGAAATCCTGCAAAAGAGAGCTATTCGAGCAGTTTATACCTCCTAGTACAGATCATTTGTTTAGCCGACAAAGACTAATACCATTAGTTGAGTCATTTGGGGTGTGTACACCAGACTACATGAAGGAAAAACAGGGGTTTACTAATAACTATAACAGCAGACCTAATAATGTTAAAAAGAGTATGGGGTGTACTCTTTTTAACATTATTAGGCCTGCTGTTATAAAGTTCATAAAAACCATATAAAAGATAGGCGTGACCCGAATAGAAGGAACAAATATAATCATTAAAAAGGGACGCCCACACCATCACAGAATTTCAATACAATGGTCCATCAGCAAATAGAAATCAAAAGTGACAATGAACAGGTACTCAAAAGCGGTTGCTCAAAAAGATTTGTTCATGTATGGGAACAAATAAATATAGAATTATTCATGTACTCGTATTAAATTAATTACATTCATTTGAACTTATCTCAAAAAGTGCGTGATTTATGTGCAACTCATTTATTTTACACGCGATCATTCATAACTAACACGCACACAAGTTCGTTTCAAAAGTAGGTATACAACGCATTTATGAATGACTTCCGCATTGTCAACAAGTTCTGTTTTTTAGGGAATATAATGGCAATTAAAAAAAAAAGTTTGTTTTTATTTCAATAAACGATTATACTACCGAGTCTGAACCTCCTGTGTGAATTTGGGCACCTTTAGAAAAGCCATCCTGTATAGCGCCATCTCATCTCATTTTATTAGATAGCTCTATTTGATACTATCCGAATTTAAAAAAAAAACCAAATGCGCGAAAGATCTTTCTGATAACTTAGTATGGCATTATATTATATCGTAGTTATACATAGGTCCATAAAGGTAAACGTTGCTTCTTAGTGTTAATTACACATAAATGCACTAAGTATATCAAAAATAATCTTTCTAAACGAATTCAAAAAGGACGAGGATATCAAGTCGGATGATTATACGTTTTTTTTTATGTAAGTTCGGCCATAATTCTGTCATATTATATAGACGGATTTGCAAATTTTTGTTTGAAAATTTTCGTCATTTATATTACGTAACATGTAGGAATTAGGATCTTTTTTTAAAAATCTATTTTCGTGCTGGTCAGGCCTCTCATTTGAAATGCTAATAGATTTTTTCCTAATTTGTTTTTAATCGTATCCCTTTTTAAGTTGCGGTTTCAGTTTGACACCGTTTTTGTCATATGAGCAGGCCCTGCTAGGTCTACCCGTGTTTTATAATACCTTAGTATTAAAAATAAAAGAAATCTATTTTTTTAGCAAGGTATACTTGTTAACTCATTGTGAACAATGGTACCGACTCCAAAATTGTTAAATTTTGTTAGAGGTTAGGTAGGTTGAAAAGCCATTTGGCAGCTGATTAGTTAATTTCTGTGGTATATTAGTTAATTTCTATGATGAAGTGTTTCAGAAACCGGTTGTTAGTATTATTTTAAAGTTTTTAGTGTTAATAAAGATTTTTCTGTAGTCGGTTATTTTTTTGTTAAAAAACTTTTTATTAAAGTAATTAAAACGAACTTATATTACCTAGATTCATTATTTGAACATATTGTAATATATTTATATATTATATTTATTTGACACAACCTGAACAGATGATAGTAAGAAGATACAATATCAGTGTAACATGTTGGATGAGGTAGTTTCCTAAACAGTTGGTTTGTAATGATTTTTAATAGGTTTTTTTTGTTGCCTAGTGTTGCCGTGATGAAGAATAACCTTTTCTTAACCCTTTCTATTGGCCAAAGATAGACGTTTATGTTTTTTATATGTAGACTTTTATTTTTATATCCAAAATATAAAGTTGCGAATAGTGCCGATCAGCAACGATAGTTTATTATTATTTTTTCGGCAACTTATGCTCCCACTATACCCTCGTGGTCCTATCAACGACACAATATATCTACTTACTTCTGATGCACGCCAGCCCAGCAGTTGGTTGTGGAACTATGAGGTCCCAAAACTACTTCCTTTTGTGACGTCAAGACAAGATTTGAAGAGCTTGTCGAAATTCTCTTAATCAATGTTTTTTTCGGTTAATACGTTTGGCACCCAAACAGGGTTTGGACACGAAATCGAGCTTTTTGATGTGATCTAAATTAGTAGTCTGAAGAAAGCTTCCAAGCTTGAACCCAACTTTTGTGTGGAAGATAACACGTTCTGATCATACCACAATACTTTGCAATTGATATCTAATATCCTTCTTGATCTGGGTCCATTTTTCAAAGAAAAGATTTTCATCTTTCACTATAATGAAATTTTGCAAAACCATCTTTCGCATGTTTGAGCTGTTACTGTGCCCTCTCCAAACACGTCACACAAGTTTATACAGCAATTATTGGTTTATGAGTGAAATTACCTTATGTATTTATTGTAACAAAAAAATTATGTATCTATCTGATACACAAATTTCACGCCACTGCCACCATTAAATTCTTTACAGAATGATGCAGATGATGGGTTGGAAGGGTGGTGGACTGGGTGCAGACGCGCAGGGAATTGCTGAACCAATTAAGCCCAACCTACAAATGGTTTGTTAATTAGATTTAAAACATAGTTATGCATCTCTCAAATAAGCAGGCACACAAATTTGAAAGCTGATAACTTTAAACAGTAACCTTAATTTTTTAATGGATACATGATAGGCGAAAAGCTCCAGATTGGGTTCTGTATAAAGTTATGAAAGTGAAGCCCATACTTTACTTAAATACACGTATCGATATACATACATTATTCTGTAATCCCTGTATCTACTTGTCTCATTTTTGTCGAACCAACTTATCTACTTCCTGCGTATTCGGCCAAAACATTTTCTGACCGAGTATTATCCTGTACTTCGTTGATTTTAGGTAAAAAGAGCGGGACTGGGTAGCAACACCAATGACGTGCATCAGTTTAGGCGGGCGGCACAAGATCTGATGCGTCGATATATCGCCTCTGATACCTTCGACCTGGACCTGGTATTCAGCAGTGATTTCAGCAAGGAGGAGCGTGCGGTTCTACACCAGTGTGCCCGGAAATCGGGTTTGGTGTCAAAAAGTTACGGAGAAAGGGACAAAGATAGGTGTGTTTGTTGCCGCATCCAGTATAAAGTACCAATACATTTTTCTTACATTAAAATTTACTTAGCTTGACTATGGCGACTATTTATCTGTCCCGTAAATAGTATAAAAGCTTGTTTGTTTATAGGTTTCTAGTAGTAAAAAAGAAAATGGACCCATTTTCTCTGGTACGAGCAGTAGTTCAGAAAGGCGGTAATACTCAAAAGTATCAAGTATTTATACCTATAGGTCTTGATAGGCCAATAAGAAGATAAACAATGAACAATTTTGTTTTTTAAAAACAGGTATTAAATTAAGTAAATGGATCCATATTTGTTGTTGTTTTATTGTTTTACATTTGACCATATACGACAATATTGGGGTAACTTACAATTTGTCCAGTCAAGGGAACGAAAGTAAATCAGTCCTGAAGTAACCCGTCTGACTAATACACACGTAGGTAACTATAGCACAACAAATTGTTTCCTGTTTCCCTTTCCCATGTGGCGGTTCCGTCGGAGCCTCTGCTCAGGCCAACACAATTTTATTATTAGTACCGGTTTGGGAGGCCGCCAAGCTCGTAGTTCAGGATGCGATGGCGCTGGGAAAGCGTTGGAAAAAACTCCAGCAACGCTTCTATCTTAAAGTCGTGCAAACAAAAAAATTACACTACTTACGCTAACTTATGGATAGCGAACGAACAGCACATTCCGCATTAACATTATCCTTAAAGATTTCTGACTATGAATTTCCGGTATGTGATATTTCAAAATCATCAGAACACAGACAAATATTAAAACAGTGCAAAGCCATAATATGGGACGAAACAACAATGGCTCACCGAAAGTCTAAAGTTTAGAAGCGCTACTTAAATAGTTCAAGATCTACGAGATAATGGGTTGATAATATTGTCAGGTGATTTTCGTCAAACGCTACCTGTCATTCCGAAATCAATACCAGCGGATGAAATTAATGCCGGCTTTAAGAAATCACCTATATGGCAACACGTACAAACAGTCAAATTAACAAATATGAGAGCACTTTCAGGAGACCTGGGAACGCAAGAATTTTCCAAAAATATATTATGAATGAGAGGAGAAGGCACCTATCCAGTAGAAAAAAAAATAGTCAAATCGTACCGACGAATTATGCAATGTTATTGAACCATCGTAACAACATAAATGAAGTATACCCAAATATTGTGAAGTATTATACTAATTCAGAGTAGTTATGGCAAAGAGTTATTTTAGTAACTAAAAATGAAGTTGTCAACGAAATCAACAGTAAAACTTCGAAACAACAAGAAATGATTCAGGGGGAAAGAAAAGTAACCCGTGGATCGATAAAATTATTGATGAAAATGAAAGCGTCAATTTCCCTATCGAAATTTTAAATTCATTGAATGTACCAGGAATTCCATTGCACTGTCTTAAATTAAAAGTTTAGTAAGCCCTTCAGAGGCCCGAAACGGCGAAGCTGAATGAGGGCCCTAGTTTAGGAAGCTGACTTAATTTTATAAGCTTAATATTCACTTCACTTTTGTACGTAATATATATGTATTAACTGTTTGTTTATTGAGTTAAAAACTTAAAAGCGAAATTTAAATTCAGTTTAAATAAAAATACACAAAATATCCTATAGGATGAGGAAATAAAATCGATCGGCAAAAAAAAAAAACCGGCCAAATGCGAGTCGGACTCGCGCACGAAGGGTTCCGTACCATTATCTACAAAAACGGCAAAAAAATCATATGTTTTGTATAGGAGCCCCACTGAAATATTTTTTTGTTCTATTTTTAATATTTGTTGTTATAGCGGTAACACATATACATCATCTGTATAAACAATTGTCTACATATCACGGTTCATGAGAGACGGCTGTCTCTGGCTGGTGACAGACAGCGGAGTCTTAGTAATAGTATCCCGTTTCACCATTTGGGTACGGGACCCTAAAAATTAGTTGAAATAAATTAAATTTTTTATTACCAGTAACTTTGTTTGTTTTTAAAAGAAATTGACTTCACTGAAAATTTTAAGTTTAGTGAAATAAAGGCCCGAAAATACGTACCTATTATGTGCGTGCACTGTACTCTCGTCTCGGTAAGAATACGAAGAAGATTCTGTTTATTTTTTAACGTAACACACAACACACCCACATGATGTGTTGTGTGCGTTCTCAACACACTTATTTGAGCGTGAAAGTATACCCTAATGTAATACCCTCTAAAAATATGGTTTCTTCGTTGTTCCAAAAATTATCATCAATTCCGCCTGCAACTCTTCATGGTCGGAAAAATGCTTACCTCGAAGATCTTTCTTGAGGTTGAGAGAGAAAACCGAAAGTAATCATTAGGGGCTAGGCCCGGGCTGTAGGGTGGATGTTTGACTTTTTCGAATTGGCAGGATCGCGGATCACAGCAGTCTTGGCAACATTGTGACCTGCGGTCATTTTTCCACGTCTTTTGCTCTTATTGCCTCCGTTAAATTACCTAGGGTGTATGCTTAAGATGCGGCAGTAATACTTTGACCTTTTTTGTGTACTAAATCAGTAAAGTCTTAGAATCCCAAAATACTGTGGACATGAGTTTTCCGGCGGATGGGGTGTCTTTAAACTTCTTTGGTGAGTCTGTCCCTTTTTATGCCACTCTATGAACTTGCTTGCTCTCAGGATCATAGTGGTGAACTCACGTTTCATCACCGGTAACGAAAATACTCCGGATTTTCCACACATCTCCAAAAACTCTTTGCAACACTCAACTCGCACTGGTTTGTGAAGCGCCGCGAGCATTCGCGGCACCCATTTTACACTGACCTTTGACAGATTCAGATGCTCAAGAAGGTAGCGTGAATGGTACCCATGGATAGCTTAGTCTTTTCTGTTACTGTTTTCACTCTTACACGGGCATCCTCGAGTTTCTAAACAATTTTGACGTTTTCTTCAGTAATGGCACTAACAAGTAAACCGTCACGGAGGTCGTGTTCAATATTTTGTCTACCCCGTTTGAATTTACTAGATTACTTCTGAATAGTGGATAATGATGGAACAGAATCTTGGTAAAATGCCATCATTTCTTCGTTAATGACTTTTCGAGTCTTTTCTTGTTTTGTAAGGAACTTTATAACAGCGCTATGCTCGATTTTTTTCAACACTCTTATCAGTCATCGTAGTTGCTTTTTTGTAATGACATTTTCAATACTAAAGGCGCCAATTAAATCAAAGGCTGTCTTTAACTAATGAGATAATTTAATTACTCTCATCATGAGAATATCAACCCGATACCGAAAAGACATTGAACGCCCGTTGTAATATACGATAATAACTACTACTTAATGGTTATAGTAAGGTATCTTTTTTATTAATTACCTATTTTTTTACCATGTTATTTATAATGATAAGATATCCTTTATTAAAAGGGCCAACTAAAGTAATGGTAAAGGAGAAAGTACGGAAAGTAAATCAAACAACAACAGAACAATATCATCGAGGCCAATAGACTGACGGGTTAAGAAAAAGAACAAACGGTATTCATACCGCGAATACCTTTAATATCAACTTTTCAATTTAAAGCGATTACAATTTCCAGTCAAGTCGGCTTTTAGTATGACCATCACTTAAGCACAGGGCTAACCATCCCAATATTGTGGCCTTAGTTTGGGAGAATCATACTTTTCACACGGTCAATTGTATGTCACATGCTCACGAGTTGGATCGCCTCGAAGATTGTTCATTTACAGTCCATATTATAATAAAACAACAAATGTGGTACCTATATAAGGAAGTGTTGTTAGAGAATTGGAAAGATATAATCGTTTATAAACATGTATACATGGTATCCAATTTACATTACAATATACAATTAAGACCGTAAGAATTTTTTAGATTGAGACCACAAACGGTCAAGGATTGACTCAGTGCAGTGGCGGACTAAGGCCATCAGAGACCCGGGGCGGTACAGCTGAATGAGGCCCCTAGTTTAAAGAATTGATCTAATTAAACAATCTTTTTATTCACTTCGCATTTGTATGTATAACTTTTTATGTTTATTTAGTTAAAATCTTGTAAGTGAAATTTAAATTGTACTTAAATAAATATACACAGAATACAGAGATGGATGAGGAAAATAAAATACGAATCGATCTGCAAAAAAACTAAATATTAAAATTAAGTAATAGGTAGTTTTTATTTCCAGTAAGTTTCTGAAACTAAAACTGTACAGGGAGGCTTCTCTAAGTGCATTTTTTTATTAAACTCTAGACATTAATAAATTTATATAAAAAATGATAATTTGATTTATGGGCAACTCATTTATTTTAAGCGCAATCATTCATAACTAACACATACATAAGTAAGTTTTAAAAGTATACGACGCATTTTTGATTGACTACCGCATGGTCAACAAGTTCTTCGGTTCCATGCAGCAGCCTCGGCTGGGTGGGCTCGTCCGGGTAAGTACCACCATCTCACAGAAGTGGAAGTTTAATACTTTCGCGTTTCGTCTGGTCATTGAAGTAGCCGGTGCTAAATTTTCAAACGCATCTTCGGTTTAGCAGATGTCTATGGGCGACGGTATTCACTTAACATTAGGTGAACCGTCAGCTCGTTTGGCAGCTTTTCACATAAAAAAAGCAAGTTCTGTTTTTTAGTTCTGGGGACCGGGGCGACCGCCCTCCCGCCTCACGGTTAGTTCGCCACTGGCGATTTCTCAATCGTCATGGCGAAGGCAAGACAAATCGGGACTTAAATTCGTTTAAACTCAAAATGCATATCCGTTAATCACATTGCTCATCAGTTTTCTTATCACCAAACGCGTTCCATTGCAAAGTTTTGGTTTGTTTAGATTTCGAAGTATGTTGACTGCCGACCGTCAGTTGTAAATTATGCGGTGGTAAACCAAGCACATCCAAGGAGTTTAAAAATTCAGTTGGATAATTAATGGCTTCGTCTTCGTTTGTTACACAGTCAATAGATTTGAATGAATGCAGAGTACCCACGATTTGATTTAGAATTATAAAACCCTTCGTGCGCGAATCCGAGTCGCACTTGGCCGGTTTTTTTGTATTCCGTCGGATTGCTAACAGCCGCACTCACAAACATCAACAAAAATTCAACCCTAATAAAACACAAGTTTACGCGTTAAAAAGTCTCCTTTTGTTGTAACTCCTCATTTTGAGAACACTCCCCTGTTTGCCACACTAGATACTATCGGAATACTTGGCGTCGAAATCTCGAGCAATGTCCAGTTCCGCGGTCAATTGGAAAGCACCCTATAACA